ATTGCTAAGTGTCCTATAATAAATATTAAAACTAAGCATATGAGGGTTTTTCCTGCAAGTTAACAAACTAATGTTGGTATGTTCATTTTTAATGAACATATAAGTAATAATACATCTTCTATATCTCAGAAACCAATACTTTTCCAATATTTAATTTACAACTGACATCTTTTTCCTCTTCATTGTTAGCCAGTTTCACACAGCAGCTGGGGAAGAAAATTCCACTGGGAGACCATGATATTTATGTTTATTATACCATAAACACTGGGCTTCTGCCAAGATGCACCTGCTGTAGCTCTTAATTGTGTTGAATGTGAAACAAATAAAAATGTCTATGTCCCATTTTTAATATTCATTGCTGAAAAAAATATATATTAAAAGTTCTGTTGCCTTCAGGGGAAACTTCCTCTCCTTTTCTACCTCTTAACAATTTTTCTGTAGCCATCTCAGTGTTCCATTGCAGCCCTGCGTTTTCCAAGTTCTGATTTTTTATTTTTTATTTTGCTATAAGTAGCTGGTTGCTGCACCATCTGTTAATGATTCTGCTTGGTGAAGATACTTCACCTCAGGGGCTGGTTGCTGAGAAGAATTCGGAATCCAGAATGGTTTAGAAAAGTAATTGGTTGTCTACCTCAATTCAGCTGGGTATAGTCAGTAATTCTGAGGTAACAGCTGTTCCCCTGTGCATATATGAGGCATTCAGGAAGATTCCTTTCAAAAGCTGATGGGATTTTAAAAAGCCCGAAATAAAAGATAATAGGAATTTCACGATCTAACACTGCTAATAAATAGAAGTGGGATGATATCATTGCAGTGCTTTGCTTAATTCAAATGTATATTGTACACAGGGCATGATTTAATTTTTGCAATTATTCAGACCTTTCCTGATTGGACTGTCAGAAGTTCGGTTACAGATATAACCAGAATTAGATGTAAAAACATTTGGAATTGGAAGTATATTTTTAAGTGAGATTACGGCACAATTCAGATTCCTCCAGATGTGTTGGATTGAAGATGTTGGGAAATACTGTGTTGGACATCTGGAGGGCTGATGTTGTTTCATTGGATAATGAAACATCTGAGTGAAATGTAATGAAAACGACGGAGCTCAGAAAGCACAGAGGAGCCCTAAAATCCTCATTGACTTTGCTTGTAAGAAGCTGGCTGGTGATGACATGGCCCTGGGATGGTGCAACCATCCTAAATAGATGCCAGTTGCCAAGCACATGAAATTGGATCATGTGACCCTGAGGATGGTGTGGCGGTTGTAAGTGCGAGGACCAGTTGTCAGTTGCTTTTTTCAGTGCTGTTGAAAAATCACTAAATGGATCAATGTAAGTTAAGGACTGCCTACTCCTGTATGCAGAGTGTTGGTCAAGCACTGTGACTTGCCTTTTGTAGAACCAAATAACAAATTGCAATGGAAATGTGAGGATGCGGTGAAAGAAATGGAGGGATTCAGCCACCAGATACGTTAGTTGAAAATGCAGAGAAATACTTCGGAAGGGGGAAAGAGGAAGGGGGAGGGAAGATGGCAGCCTCAATCAGAGGATAGTTGCACAATGGTTCCAAGACAAGATAGTTAAACAGTTACAGAATGGAGTTGGAGGGGACCTTGGAGGTCTTCTAATCCAACCCCCTGCTCAAGCAGGAGACCCTATGACATTTCAGGCATGTTTTAATTGATAAAACATGAAGATTGTGAGTATTACTAGATCCTTCAACCCCAAGCAGACTTGGGAATCTATAGGTATCTTTTGTGATGGTCATGCATAGATATAGGGGAAAAATTGATTATTTCCTCAAACTGTTGTGCAGTTTGATTACCTTGAATATGTTCAGGGGTCTCATTTGTCTCATTAGGTCTCAGCAGACACCTTTCTTGTGGCTCACAAGCTTATTGTCCCACATGGCTTCCCACTTTTTTAAAAAAGGGGAAATTGAAATATCACCCCGCTGCATTATCTTAATTTCAGGAAAACCTTTGTATTCCAGATGGCCCTGTAAACTTTCTTGGAAAATAAATATAGAGGGTGGCTGTGTTTTAGGGCAGTGGCCCCCAACCGGTTCCTTGGAGAGAGGCTTTTCTGCAGACCAGAAGGGGCATGGTTTTGCATCCCACGGATGGGGCTTCGCTTGTTTGCGGTGGGTTGGTTTCTGGCATGCTGTGGTCCGGTGTCAGTTCATGAATGGGGGGTTGGGGACCCTTGCTCTAGGGCTTCATTTGGAAGTGTGTGGAAACTGAACAAAGGTAAGTGAACAAGGGTATTGTGAATCATGTCACCATCATTCTGGCAAATTAATGTTTTATAGCTGGCCTCCCATTGCTTGCTTCTCTTCCTTCCTTCCTTCCTTCCTTCCTTCCTTCCTTCCTTCCTTCCTT